GAAAGGGACGGCACATTAAAAAAAAAAAAAAAAAAAAAAAAAAAAAAAGAAGAAGGGTGGAGGATCTTAAGACTGTGCGAAAGAATTTTACATTTAGGAGGTAAAAGAAAACTTCTTAAAAAGAAGCACTTTTTTTTTTTTTGTAAAAGCTTTGATTCATTTTAAGACAAAATTGGCTGACCAACATCTTCGAATAAAGCATCGTCTTGACAAATAAAACAAAAAGGAGACGGATAACGTTCTGGGCACAAACCACTTAGGGTAAAAGGGGGAGGCCCCCCTTATATCAGGTCTCTGCCCTCCAGCCCGGGAGGGGGCAAAAAAAATCGGCAGTGCCCGTTTATTTTCAGGCTGTGTTGCACTAGCTCCAGAGACCGGCGTAGTTTCCGTGAAGACCCGTTGGCAGGGGACCACCCGCTACAAAGAGCTTCGTTCCAGACGAGTCGTAGCAGTGGGTGTAAACAGCATTCGGGCAGCAGTCTATGTCAGAGAAGTAGTTCCTCCACATGTCGTTATGGTTCTGAGAGAAGAAGAGAATAGAGGGAAAGTCAGTCACCCATTATAAACTACATCTCTGCAATTCAGTCGCATGTCCCCATGGACTAGGTCCGTCAAGAAGCCTATACCAGGAAAGCATGCGCCCGGTGTGGTCCATAGAACCAGGCCTGACCATGCACCTATGTGTAGATGCGCACGTGTTCGCGCATGTGTTTCGTATTCTGGTGCCAAACGGGCTATTTAGGCTGCGACTCCTCATGACTGATTATTAGCTTCCTGCATACAGAGATCCTGTATCCTGACCCGGCTTCCCTACACCAGTGGTCCCCAACCCCCGGGCCGCGGACCGGTCCGTGGATCAAATGGTACTGGGCCGCGGGGCCCCGCACTGCCGACGGGCCTCACAGTGTCACAAGCCCCGCCCCCTGCAGTGAGTGCACACAACTCCCTGGCTGGGTAAGTCCGAAGGCGGGAGGGGGGAGAGCTTTATTAAATCAAAACAATCTAAAATATAAACAAACAATCAACGTCCCCCCCTCAGCGGGCCACGGTAAAATTATCAAACGTTGACCGGTCCGCTGCGATAAAAAGGTTGGGGAGCACTGCCCTACACCAACCTGGCTCGTCCTGACCATTCTGCTGATTCTCTCTCTTCCCTGACCACAGCTTGTTTCTGACTCCACTCCTGCGCGCCATCTTGTACTGCGCCCACACGTTCCTGACCTCAGCCTGTCTTTAACTACGATCCTGCCTGCTGATTTGGTCCCTCATCGCCCACACGTCTTGGCCCAACATGCGCCTCACCGCGGATCTTCCTGCACAGCTTCCTCTGGTGTGCATTTCCTGTGTTACCTTCACCCAGAAGATTCTCACCAAGCACAGCACTCCCTGCCTGCAGCGCACCCTTATGGCAACTCGCACCCTTCTGGCAACTCGGGCAGAGCCGACAACGGAGCTAAGGATTTCTGAGCAGTAGAGGCAACGTTGTCAGCTCACTGGATTTTTTTTTGCTGGATTTTTTTTTGGCAGGATCAACAGGATTTTTTCTGTACTTTTTAAAAGAAACAAAATATGGACATGAAAGGATCTTCTAACAGTGTAGAGAGCTTTAACACTACTACTGTGATCAGAATCCTACAGCAGCACAATTTAGCCGTCCTTATCTTGAACAATTGGTGCTGTTGGATTTAATTTTCTAATACTCCGCTACAGAAATATTCTGTGCTGTTGGGGGACTTGGCTCCATCAGTTATTCTTCATGTTCATTAAATGCTTAGTGCTGCTGGAAGACTCTGGTCCCTCTCCTTCACTTCCCTCCCCACATACATTCTGTGGAGCTGGCTCCTACTACACTTTCCTCTCCAGAAATACTCTGTGCTGCTGGAGGACTCTGCTCCTAGTACACTTTCCTCTCCTAAAACATAGGTGCTGCTGGAGAATTCTGATCCTTCTACTACACTTCCCTCTCCTTAAAATACCCGTGCAGCTAAAGGAATCTGCTCCTTCCTCCACGCCCTCCTATTCAAAAATTCACAGGGCTGCTGGAGGACTCTTCTTCTACTACACTTCTCTCTTCTGAAATACTCGCTACTACTGGAGGACTCTTCTTCTACTACACTTCTCTCTTCTGAAATACTCGCTACTACTGGAGGACTCTTCTTCTACTACACTTCTCTCTTCTGAAATACTCACTACTGCTGGAGGACTCTTCTCCTTACTAAGGCTGGGTTCACATCTAGGCGTATCGAATATGCGCGTTTGTCGCGTGCTTCATGACGCACGTTTTTACAGCGATTCACAGTAAAAAAAAAACGGACGACAAACACGCGTTTCCGAGGGTTACCTGGCTGTATCCCAATGGATACGCGCGGCAAATACGCCCCAAAGTAGCTCCTGTGCTTCTTTGGGCGTGGGGCGTTTTGCAGCGTGTTCCTAGGCGCTGTAAAACGCCCAGGTGGGAACCATGCCCAAGGCAATCATTGGTTTTCACATGTTGAGCGTTTTACAGAGCGTAGGAACACGCTGTAAAACGCCCAGGTGTGAACCAGGCCTAACACACTCCTCTCCAGACCTACTCTGTGCTGCTAGAGGACCCGGCTGCTCCCACTATACCTCCATCTACTGAAATGCTCAGTGCTGCTGGTGGAGCTTGCTCTTCACATTATACTTTCCTGTCCTAAGAGGATCTCTGCTGTCTGCCTACATCCACCAACCTAATGTTTTTCACATCATAAACAGAGCCCCCGAAGGAGGCAATCTTCTCCTCAGGCTTCCACAAGACATAAGAAGTCTTCAGAAACGGCTCTTCATTCATTTAAGGAATATTGCGCATTTCTTTCCTCAGTAGAGAAAGCTGTAAATGTTTGAGGAATCATCATTCCTACGAGCTACCCTGGAGGTGCATTATAACACAGCCTGGGCTCAAAGTACCCCTGCAATAAAGGGTACTCTTAGGTCATTACTTGATTGCAGTTTACTGCAGCAGTAAGTAGCAATGAATGCCATGGGAGAAATAAAAAATAAGGGCAATTAACAGTTTAAAAAACAGTTTCGCTGCAGCATTCACCTTCAATCTAACACAAACCACACAGTACTTCTTTTCTACCACTAGATGTCCTCAGTCATTCAACTCACTTCCTGTGATCCCTGCCCCCTGGCGAGCATGCACGAATGCATATGTGCAGCGGGAAGGAAGCGGGCCAGTTGATTAAACAGAATTCAGCTTTATAGAAAACATTTCACAACACAGACTGAACATTCCAAAAGAACGTTGGGTGTGTGGCCAGCATTACGCAACTGACATCTAGGAGTTCAATCAGTCCATCACCATCCGTGTATACAAATGACACCCGGGTGAGTACTCACCAACCAGCCTTTCCCCGTGGTCAGTTTCAGCATTTCTCCTCTTGACTTTAAAGACTGGAAATTGCCAATAGAATCATCCAGAAACCTCTGAGCTCGGATGTCATAGAACAGGAGGGAGCCCTGTCCGGTCCCCACAGTGATTATATGTTCATAGAAGCTCACTGACCGGATACCTGCACATAAACATATCAAGGCTTTAGTAACACAGAGTGGGTGTGAAGTCGGCCATGCCGAGAGCTTAACCCTCTCCGAAGGGTGACTTTATGGTCACAAGATGGTGCAATACATTAAGTTCAGATGAAAGTAGTGAAAAGCAGGATATTGTGAAACTGATCGAATGGGATAGACAATGGTTTATTAAATCAAAGCATGACATGAACTTGCCAGGATCACCATGGGGGAGACAGCAGGCCGGTGTCACAACTTGTAAAATGTATGTATATGCCAAAAAATTTCAACCAATGTATTCATTTTAAAAGCTTTTTCTCCAGTTTACTTTTTTTCTTCTTTTGTTGTCAAAGTTGCAAAAATACCCGCCGATCCTGTATGAACATCTACTTCTGCCCCTGCTTCGTTCTATCAACACCATCAATGGGTTCGGACCTACTGGAGTGTTGATAGACATGTGTTGTTCAGTCTACATAGGGAGCAGCAGGATGCATTGCCAAAGCACTGGAAGGGGAATTTATCAAGACTGGAGCAGACAAAATCTGGAGCAGATGTCCAAAGTTACCAATCAGCTTCTCGCTTTCATTTTCAAAGTTTAACTGAACAAACTGAAAAAAACAAGCTGACTGGTTGCTATGGGCAACTGCTCCCATTTTGATAACCTCCCCCTTGTGGGCTTTCATTTCAGTTATCAGTCTGTGGCGTCACGGGGTGACATGCCCATAGACCAGCTGTTGGCTCTTTTCCTGGCAGGTGACACAGGCTGACCCAAGGTGCACAGTCTAAGTGTCCCTTGGTCTACATCAGAGCACCCTGCAAGGGATGATTGGCCAGTGATCCTAGTGGCTACTGGGCCCCACCAAGGGATAGCAGGAATGGAGTAGCTGTGAGGAGGAGGCAGGGTAGCAATACTACAACTAGTAAGTTAATGATATTATCATTGGATCAGATGTCTCCATTAAAAGCTTTCCCCTCACCTCCTGTTCTAGTAACAAAAGTAACATTTCGAGATCCCCATCACTTTTCTTCTGCTGACAACAGTCACAGGACGAAAATTGAGGTTAGATCTCCCCATCAGAGACACTAACCGGAATACCACCCACTCAACCTTTCCCTCTCCAACCAAAAAACAACCCTTTCACTAGAGTTATAAAGTGCAGTTGTGCTCGACTCATGCATGCAAACCAGCAGTTCCACTTCGCTACCTCCCTCCCCAGCTGCACATCTTCCTTTTGCTCCCATTGGCCGAGCACGGTTACATGGAGTGAGTCATATTCTCCTCCATACCAGAAATACCGGTATTTCCTTTGGCTCCTAGCACCGGAACAGAGGTGGTGAGGGAGTGAAGGAATGGGAGAATACCTCTCTTGTATTAGAAGCAGGAGTTCCTAGATCATCAGCAAAAGGGAGTGCCAAAGGCTGATGCACTCAGCGATGCCTGGGTGAAAAGCAAAAGCCCTGAATAGGCAACCTGTGCTCTGTGTTCATCTCAAAGTTTACTTTCCCTTGATGTGACTGACAGCCACAGAAGCAAATGTGAATTCCTCAAGTTATGCGACTACTGTATTGTGGAGGAAGGTCGTTAAAAATATGACTGAGGGAATATGGGGACCATTAAAAAACAATTAGAGATGTGATATTCTGTACATAATGTTCCAAGAAAAGACTTGTCTGACTTCCAACACATGATTTCAGTTCAATACAGGCTATGACCACACTCACCGCTGCCCTGCTCCCTGCAGTACACGGACCGGACGTTCTGCGGAGGCTGCCGGGGGTCCAAGAAAGAGACGTGAGCCTGCGATCCCACCGCGTACACAGACCACTCCAAGCCATAGGACAGGCACACGTTCTCTCTGCAGTATGGTAACTTCATGGAGTGAAGCTGTAGAAAACCCCACGAAAATATGGCGGTCAGTTCCTGAGCAAAACCATACATGCCATGTAGGCTGAAATGTCAGCTGATGCGTTTGTGCAGCTTATGTCTTGTTCATACAGTAAAATATCACAAAAAAGAAAGACTGAGCTGGATCAAAATACCTGACTTTTGGGGAGAACTGGATCCCCATAGAAGCCTCCATCTAATCCTTACAGTCTATGGAACACAGACCTTCACTATAGTACTGCGCCATTCTGCTGACAAACTACATTCACGTATCTATTGACCTGAAGAGTAAAACTTGGGACTATATTGCTCTGCCGCTCCCAATCCAAATACTGGTTCCATTTATTTATATATCAAATGGAATCCACAATAAAATAGGTGATCCCACCGCTCCTTATACCTTTCTGTAGGTTACTGGCCACGGAAGCAGATCTGAGTTACAATGGTCAGTTTGTGTCCCTTTGAGAAAGCCAAACCTTTTTTTTTTTCTACTTTACTTTTGGGTCAGATAAGTACATTTACGAATATACTCCTGTGACCCCAAGTCACACAAAGACTACTGCCTGTGATATACTGACAGCGCAGAGCCGCACTGCAGACGGAAAGAGTTCCAACAATATTGTTGGGATCCACCCGACTGTGATTGACAGCTGGCTCTGCCTCTCTAGAGCCAGAGCCAGCTATGCCCGCCCCCTCCCCTGTCTGTCGGAGCGCAACAGAGACGGGAGGAGGAATCCATGTGGAGAGCGGTGACAGACAATCACTGCTCTGGAGAGGGAAGCCAGGAGCTTATTGATCATCAGTTTGTGATCGCTCAGCTCTAGGTATATAGATCTGGGGTAGGACATCTGCAGTGTCCATGCCAGCTCTAAGTATTGGGAAAATAATATTTTACTCTCCCAATACTTCCACCTTTAACTTCTAATTTGAACTACAGGACACCGCACCAACACACAGCATGTTTGCAGCGCCTTGGTGAGCATGTCCCCTGCCCAGCTTGCTTGACAGTATGTGCTGGCCGGATGCCTTTTTTCTAGCCACACCCCCCCACCATGCAAAAGAAGGATCCTGAGCTTCTCCCCAACCCTGCTTAGCCTGATTGACAGCAGGGACTGGCATGCTTTCTAACTATACCCCCCGCCATGCAATAGCAGGATATAAATGGAGGGCTTGCGGTCACATGGCTACATAATTATTTTCAAGGTAACTGGCAGCAATTTACATTGTAAACATAGATCACACTGACTTTTTGGTATATTCAGAAGCGCATTTGATGTGATAAGTCTGCTTAATAGACTTTGCATTAGCTTTATCAGGTGTGTGATCATACAGCAGCTGTCCCTTTAAATTGAGAAGCTTAATACAAAAACTTCTCCAGTGGGAGCGGTGTAAACATTTTTGCTCTCTTGAAGAGATCTGTCCACTGCTGCCAACATGTCTGAGTGTCCCAATAGCATGTTCCCAGCTGGGCAGAGCGGCTTCTCCTGCTTACCCCTACGTCACTGCGTCTACTTTTACAGGGCACTTCTGATCTATGTTGTAGTATCTGCCTGCTTTGTCTGACTGGAACTTCTGCTTTTTCCTCTGATTAGAGAGTAATCATGGCTGCCATGCTTTTGCTCTGCATAGAAAATAAAAGCAGGAAAAAAACCCCAGCAATTTCAGCGCCTCCGCTGTGAACGCTAAAGATGAATTTCTCCACAGTGCCTGCAGCTACAGAGGTGAATGAGGGCTTGTTTTACCACTTATCTAGAAAGTGTTACTTAGGATATGAATACTCTAATGCACATAGGTACAGTGTGTAAAGTGCGTTATCCCACCTAACATTACATGCGCATACATATTGTAATGAGCTCTCCAATGATCCCTTTCTCATGTCACAGCTCATGAAAACGATATGAAAAAACCCACTTTGTCTTCACAAGTCTGAGCTGCAGTCTGTGTTTAGTCTCCTTGGACACAATGAGAACATTCCTTCATTTTATATTGGCTGGCTCTGATCTCTGCTCTGCCGGGCTACACAGCGGTCATGCCGTATTAATTCATCTTACAAGACAATTCCACGAGCCGGCTGACTTGCTGAAAACAATACAGTCCCGGAGTGGCCGATCTCCAGCAGTGTGAAGGTCTAGCTGATAATAAGATGCAAGTTACCTTAGCTAGTGTGTGCTCCGCTTTCCACAGGTGGAAGTAGCCATCCAGGGACACAGCACCCAGCTCCTGCACAGAACATACGTCATTAAGAGAAACGCAAGAATATATGTTTTTTTTTTATTTATAAGAGTATGTAGAGTCTTTCCATACATGTTATATATATACACACACACACACACACACATACACTAATATTAGCAAATACCCATTTTTTCTAATGCTGGGCGAATTTAAAGAGAACATGTCACCAACAAAGCAGGTATAAAGCATAGAGAATTTAAATGCTTATTTTCCTTCTATAAATAACTTTTTTTTTTTTATTGACTGGAATGCGCTTCTGAACCTACTAGAATGTAGGAGTCCTCCAAGAAGAGTAAATTTCCTATCACAGCTCCCGCCCCTACTTATATAATTACAGCCCTGTCATCCTCTGGGAGTGTCTAATTACTTTCCATGCTGGCCCAGCTCCCCTATCCCTCACCACCCTACATAACCTTTTATGCAGTTGCCGGTGGAGGAGCTCAGGTGAATACTATACTGTGTCACTTGAGTGACAGCTCTGAGTCTGCTGGGGCTGCCGACATCCGGGATGGTGACAGCAGTCTTGGGGCTTTTAGAGGTCCTCATTGGCCTACCACTACACAGGCTTTGCCCCTTCAGTCTATCATGAATGCTGCTGCCAGACTTCATCTAACCAACCATCAAATATGTTAAATGTTCATATAATCTGAAAGTAGAACTGAACCCAAAACTTTTTTTTTCTTAGTTTTGGATAGAGTGGGGAGGGATTAGACCCCGTTAGGTTTTTTTAATTGCGGTCTGTGTCCTTGTTAGGGAGATACACCCTCTGTATGATGTCCTGCTGACAGTTACCAAGAGTGTGACAGAAAATCCACCAGCACAGGAACAGAGGGGAAATGTTCCAATGGGGACACTAGCTCTGGTCACCCTGTTGACCACAAGGGATTTCCCTCTCTTTGGAGGGATTTACTCTCACTTCCTGTTGTGGCACTCAGACAGGAAGTGAAATCTCCCCAATAGGACACAAATGGGGGGAAAATGACAAGGTTTAAAGCCCTCCTTTCCTCTATCTAAAGGATTTAGTTCCACTTTAAGGAAACAAACGGTCGGCGACATGGTCTCTTCAACCACTGAACAAAATATCTCCTTTCTCGGTAGAACTGCTTTAGAGGAGGATCACATTAACCCAAAAAATACATTCTGCTGCGGTCCGGAAACAAGCCGACTGACATATCAGAAGAGACAACGTTACCTTGTTCTTGCTGTTGAAGGCCAGGGCGCGCACCTTGCAGTTGGAGGAATTGCTCGTTTCTTTGGGGATATCCTTCAAAGCCTTGTGGTCAATATGCGCGTAGACTGGCACCCGAGAATGGCTGTGTTGGAAGTTACATTTATTCATCACCTCGTCATTTATCTCCCACAAAGCCATAGAACCATCCCGGGAGCCTGGAAGAGGGAAAGATTTCACATGGATCATCATCAGCAGGAACCTCAGAGGAATACAGTTGCAATATGGGCTGTGCTAATGTTCTCTCTATGGGGACTGCAGCTGACTGTCCAAGCGGTAGGATGGTACACTCCAAGCTCTGATGCTGATACTGTAAGTTCATCTGCCACCACCACTACGAAGCCTCCAGTATTGCAAGCCCTCAGGGGCAGGGCCCTCCTTACCAGCTGTGGTAAAGATTTCACATGGATCATCATCAGCAGGAACCTCAGAGGAATACAGTTGCAATATGGGCTGTGCTAATGTTCTCTCTATGGGGACTGCAGCTGACTGTCCAAGCGGTAGGATGGTACACTCCAAGCTCTGATGCTGATACTGTAAGTTCATCTGCCACCACCACTACGAAGCCTCCAGTATTGCAAGCCCTCAGGGGCAGGGCCCTCCTTACCAGCTGGTCTTGATTTGTATTGTGATTGCAATGTCTTCCTTATATTGTAAAGCGCTGCGCAAACTGTTGGTGCTATATAAATCCTGTATAATAATCCCCCCCCCCGCTAGATCACTGGTACCTCTCCAACTCACTTTTTAATGGCATGACTAAACAAAATTTGCAGGACTTTGAAGCCACAGGCTACACAGCCCACAGATGGCTGTGGTGCCCATATCACTAAAGAGAAAGGACTTAGCTGTCCGCCTTGAAAAATCCGCCCACCCCCGACAGGGAGACTACAGTCAGTCTAAGTGTCCCTTGGTCTACATCAGAGCACCCTGCAAGGGATGATTGGCCAGTGATCCTAGTGGCTACTGGGCCCCACCAAGGGATAGCAGGAATGGAGTAGCTGTGAGGAGGAGGCAGGGTAGCAATACTACAACTAGTAAGTTAATGATATTATCATTGGATCAGATGTCTCCATTAAAAGCTTTCCCCTCACCTCCTGTTCTAGTAACAAAAGTAACATTTCGAGATCCCCATCACTTTTCTTCTGCTGACAACAGTCACAGGACGAAAATTGAGGTTAGATCTCCCCATCAGAGACACTAACCGGAATACCACCCACTCAACCTTTCCCTCTCCAACCAAAAAACAACCCTTTCACTAGAGTTATAAAGTGCAGTTGTGCTCGACTCATGCATGCAAACCAGCAGTTCCACTTCGCTACCTCCCTCCCCAGCTGCACATCTTCCTTTTGCTCCCATTGGCCGAGCACGGTTACATGGAGTGAGTCATATTCTCCTCCATACCAGAAATACCGGTATTTCCTTTGGCTCCTAGCACCGGAACAGAGGTGGTGAGGGAGTGAAGGAATGGGAGAATACCTCTCTTGTATTAGAAGCAGGAGTTCCTAGATCATCAGCAAAAGGGAGTGCCAAAGGCTGATGCACTCAGCGATGCCTGGGTGAAAAGCAAAAGCCCTGAATAGGCAACCTGTGCTCTGTGTTCATCTCAAAGTTTACTTTCCCTTGATGTGACTGACAGCCACAGAAGCAAATGTGAATTCCTCAAGTTATGCGACTACTGTATTGTGGAGGAAGGTCGTTAAAAATATGACTGAGGGAATATGGGGACCATTAAAAAACAATTAGAGATGTGATATTCTGTACATAATGTTCCAAGAAAAGACTTGTCTGACTTCCAACACATGATTTCAGTTCAATACAGGCTATGACCACACTCACCGCTGCCCTGCTCCCTGCAGTACACGGACCGGACGTTCTGCGGAGGCTGCCGGGGGTCCAAGAAAGAGACGTGAGCCTGCGATCCCACCGCGTACACAGACCACTCCAAGCCATAGGACAGGCACACGTTCTCTCTGCAGTATGGTAACTTCATGGAGTGAAGCTGTAGAAAACCCCACGAAAATATGGCGGTCAGTTCCTGAGCAAAACCATACATGCCATGTAGGCTGAAATGTCAGCTGATGCGTTTGTGCAGCTTATGTCTTGTTCATACAGTAAAATATCACAAAAAAGAAAGACTGAGCTGGATCAAAATACCTGACTTTTGGGGAGAACTGGATCCCCATAGAAGCCTCCATCTAATCCTTACAGTCTATGGAACACAGACCTTCACTATAGTACTGCGCCATTCTGCTGACAAACTACATTCACGTATCTATTGACCTGAAGAGTAAAACTTGGGACTATATTGCTCTGCCGCTCCCAATCCAAATACTGGTTCCATTTATTTATATATCAAATGGAATCCACAATAAAATAGGTGATCCCACCGCTCCTTATACCTTTCTGTAGGTTACTGGCCACGGAAGCAGATCTGAGTTACAATGGTCAGTTTGTGTCCCTTTGAGAAAGCCAAACCTTTTTTTTTTTCTACTTTACTTTTGGGTCAGATAAGTACATTTACGAATATACTCCTGTGACCCCAAGTCACACAAAGACTACTGCCTGTGATATACTGACAGCGCAGAGCCGCACTGCAGACGGAAAGAGTTCCAACAATATTGTTGGGATCCACCCGACTGTGATTGACAGCTGGCTCTGCCTCTCTAGAGCCAGAGCCAGCTATGCCCGCCCCCTCCCCTGTCTGTCGGAGCGCAACAGAGACGGGAGGAGGAATCCATGTGGAGAGCGGTGACAGACAATCACTGCTCTGGAGAGGGAAGCCAGGAGCTTATTGATCATCAGTTTGTGATCGCTCAGCTCTAGGTATATAGATCTGGGGTAGGACATCTGCAGTGTCCATGCCAGCTCTAAGTATTGGGAAAATAATATTTTACTCTCCCAATACTTCCACCTTTAACTTCTAATTTGAACTACAGGACACCGCACCAACACACAGCATGTTTGCAGCGCCTTGGTGAGCATGTCCCCTGCCCAGCTTGCTTGACAGTATGTGCTGGCCGGATGCCTTTTTTCTAGCCACACCCCCCCACCATGCAAAAGAAGGATCCTGAGCTTCTCCCCAACCCTGCTTAGCCTGATTGACAGCAGGGACTGGCATGCTTTCTAACTATACCCCCCGCCATGCAATAGCAGGATATAAATGGAGGGCTTGCGGTCACATGGCTACATAATTATTTTCAAGGTAACTGGCAGCAATTTACATTGTAAACATAGATCACACTGACTTTTTGGTATATTCAGAAGCGCATTTGATGTGATAAGTCTGCTTAATAGACTTTGCATTAGCTTTATCAGGTGTGTGATCATACAGCAGCTGTCCCTTTAAATTGAGAAGCTTAATACAAAAACTTCTCCAGTGGGAGCGGTGTAAACATTTTTGCTCTCTTGAAGAGATCTGTCCACTGCTGCCAACATGTCTGAGTGTCCCAATAGCATGTTCCCAGCTGGGCAGAGCGGCTTCTCCTGCTTACCCCTACGTCACTGCGTCTACTTTTACAGGGCACTTCTGATCTATGTTGTAGTATCTGCCTGCTTTGTCTGACTGGAACTTCTGCTTTTTCCTCTGATTAGAGAGTAATCATGGCTGCCATGCTTTTGCTCTGCATAGAAAATAAAAGCAGGAAAAAAACCCCAGCAATTTCAGCGCCTCCGCTGTGAACGCTAAAGATGAATTTCTCCACAGTGCCTGCAGCTACAGAGGTGAATGAGGGCTTGTTTTACCACTTATCTAGAAAGTGTTACTTAGGATATGAATACTCTAATGCACATAGGTACAGTGTGTAAAGTGCGTTATCCCACCTAACATTACATGCGCATACATATTGTAATGAGCTCTCCAATGATCCCTTTCTCATGTCACAGCTCATGAAAACGATATGAAAAAACCCACTTTGTCTTCACAAGTCTGAGCTGCAGTCTGTGTTTAGTCTCCTTGGACACAATGAGAACATTCCTTCATTTTATATTGGCTGGCTCTGATCTCTGCTCTGCCGGGCTACACAGCGGTCATGCCGTATTAATTCATCTTACAAGACAATTCCACGAGCCGGCTGACTTGCTGAAAACAATACAGTCCCGGAGTGGCCGATCTCCAGCAGTGTGAAGGTCTAGCTGATAATAAGATGCAAGTTACCTTAGCTAGTGTGTGCTCCGCTTTCCACAGGTGGAAGTAGCCATCCAGGGACACAGCACCCAGCTCCTGCACAGAACATACGTCATTAAGAGAAACGCAAGAATATATGTTTTTTTTTTATTTATAAGAGTATGTAGAGTCTTTCCATACATGTTATATATATACACACACACACACACACACATACACTAATATTAGCAAATACCCATTTTTTCTAATGCTGGGCGAATTTAAAGAGAACATGTCACCAACAAAGCAGGTATAAAGCATAGAGAATTTAAATGCTTATTTTCCTTCTATAAATAACTTTTTTTTTTTTATTGACTGGAATGCGCTTCTGAACCTACTAGAATGTAGGAGTCCTCCAAGAAGAGTAAATTTCCTATCACAGCTCCCGCCCCTACTTATATAATTACAGCCCTGTCATCCTCTGGGAGTGTCTAATTACTTTCCATGCTGGCCCAGCTCCCCTATCCCTCACCACCCTACATAACCTTTTATGCAGTTGCCGGTGGAGGAGCTCAGGTGAATACTATACTGTGTCACTTGAGTGACAGCTCTGAGTCTGCTGGGGCTGCCGACATCCGGGATGGTGACAGCAGTCTTGGGGCTTTTAGAGGTCCTCATTGGCCTACCACTACACAGGCTTTGCCCCTTCAGTCTATCATGAATGCTGCTGCCAGACTTCATCTAACCAACCATCAAATATGTTAAATGTTCATATAATCTGAAAGTAGAACTGAACCCAAAACTTTTTTTTTCTTAGTTTTGGATAGAGTGGGGAGGGATTAGACCCCGTTAGGTTTTTTTAATTGCGGTCTGTGTCCTTGTTAGGGAGATACACCCTCTGTATGATGTCCTGCTGACAGTTACCAAGAGTGTGACAGAAAATCCACCAGCACAGGAACAGAGGGGAAATGTTCCAATGGGGACACTAGCTCTGGTCACCCTGTTGACCACAAGGGATTTCCCTCTCTTTGGAGGGATTTACTCTCACTTCCTGTTGTGGCACTCAGACAGGAAGTGAAATCTCCCCAATAGGACACAAATGGGGGGAAAATGACAAGGTTTAAAGCCCTCCTTTCCTCTATCTAAAGGATTTAGTTCCACTTTAAGGAAACAAACGGTCGGCGACATGGTCTCTTCAACCACTGAACAAAATATCTCCTTTCTCGGTAGAACTGCTTTAGAGGAGGATCACATTAACCCAAAAAATACATTCTGCTGCGGTCCGGAAACAAGCCGACTGACATATCAGAAGAGACAACGTTACCTTGTTCTTGCTGTTGAAGGCCAGGGCGCGCACCTTGCAGTTGGAGGAATTGCTCGTTTCTTTGGGGATATCCTTCAAAGCCTTGTGGTCAATATGCGCGTAGACTGGCACCCGAGAATGGCTGTGTTGGAAGTTACATTTATTCATCACCTCGTCATTTATCTCCCACAAAGCCATAGAACCATCCCGGGAGCCTGGAAGAGGGAAAGATTTCACATGGATCATCATCAGCAGGAACCTCAGAGGAATACAGTTGCAATATGGGCTGTGCTAATGTTCTCTCTATGGGGACTGCAGCTGACTGTCCAAGCGGTAGGATGGTACACTCCAAGCTCTGATGCTGATACTGTAAGTTCATCTGCCACCACCACTACGAAGCCTCCAGTATTGCAAGCCCTCAGGGGCAGGGCCCTCCTTCTCAGCTGGGCC